CTGTTTATGCTAAAAATATTAGACATCGACAAAGAAATATTTTACAGACGGGACCTGGCAGCATGATTACAGGAATTTAAGTCTGGCCGGTCACAATCATCCGGGATTAAAAATTGTGTAATAGGGGAAGTAAAGAATTATTTGTAAGAGACATCCAATCTCAGATTCTGGATTCTAACTTCATTGAAGAAGAGACTGAGTTGACCTCAAGAAAATCCTATCTGAAAGATGCATGTGTGTATAATGATTGATCAGTCAAAGTATGAAAGGAGACATTTCGAAAAGAAAGAAACATAGGTAGAAAGTTACAAAGGTGAAGAATATTCGGTGATATGTCCGCTTAGTGCATGTCGCACCAAGGAGGAAACAACTCCTACGGACCACCAAAAGAGCCACCTAATACCATTCCTACTATCATGTTCACAATCGATCAGTGTCATCTCTAGGAACTTAACTGCAACAAAATATTTACAAAAAGGAAATTGTATGGACAATTCGTCGTGCTAGCTTGCAGATATATGTACACTTACATCTGGTAATTCTATCTCACCAAATGGAAACTGATGTCGATGAGAAAGACATGGAAGTTCAAACTTCATTCTAGCATAGAAGGTATGGTGGATTATCCACAGACTTGCATGATGCAAAGTTAAGACATGACGTCCTTGTGAATCACCATAAAATATTACCAGAATATGAAGAAAACTTCTATTCCAATACTGAACTGTTACTTCTCCGCAAAGCTTAGAATTACTATCTACAAAGGAAAAAAATATTTACAAAATTGTGCTGATATGTGCATTTCATCCAGGGATAAATTCCTTCAGCTCTTGTATCACAGAGAGCGCAAACGCTTGGAAGACATCACCGTACTGGATAACGGTTGTACATGTACTTTGAGAGAAGTAGAAACATGCGGCACAAAGTACCACGAGTGAACAACCAATTCTCAAGAGTACTGGCATGTTCGATGTACATATCAAGATCATAAAAACAACTAAGAGTGCAAGTAAAAAGATAAAGGTTTTTGTATCAAAACCTATACTGGTTATTTGTTGTTGAGACAAGACAGACCTCGGTAAACGATGAGGATTCCTATGTTGTCCTTTCGTGGAACGCGATGATCTTCTGGGCTTATCCTCAACACTTGTATCAGGTGCGGGTATAACTACACCAATGTCAAAATCGGACTCCGAACTTGAGCTGTCTGATGAAGCTGTTGAAGTATGTTTAGGCGTTTGAGTATGCGTGGGTTCAGCAACTGACTTTGTCTCTAAAAGACCAACAGGAACCAATTTCAACTCAACAGAATTGACAGTTCTCCTGTCACCACTTCCATCAGCCATTTCTATAGTATAAACAAGATTATCAGGATCTGGTTGACCAACTATCACATACACCTGAGGATGATAAGAATCCTGTATTTTACTTCGACCCTTGGGATGGTTACGACGGTACACCTTGTTTCCTATGTGAAATACGTTTGGATTTGTTCTTCGATCATAAATTTGCTTGTTCTTGTTCCGCTCACGTTGATTTTTGCACATGGCAAGTTGATATGCTTTTTGAAGTCTGTCCTGATGTAAAGAAACCCAATCCTTTTGTACAGCTGCATTCTTCTCTTCCCTGTCCAACATGGCATCTACTGGAAGCAAAGGCTCTCGACCGAACATGATGTAAAATGGTGAAAGACCAGTAGACGAATGGGGCGTAGAATTATATGCGTAGGTCAGTTCAGGTAGAAATCTGGACCAACATCGCTTCTGTTCAGCAGAAAGTGTACGAAGGAGATCATGCATAGTTCTATTAAAGCGTTCGCATTGGGCGTTCCCTTGCGGATGATATGGTGTTGTTCGTGTTTTATTGATATTGTACAAATCACAAAGACGTGCAACTAAATCCGACTCAAATTGTCTCCCTTGATCCGAATGTATTCTCTGTGGTGCGCCATATTTAAGAAACCATTCTTTAACAAGAACTGATGCTGTTGTTTCGGCAGTCTGATCCTTGGTTGGCACTGCAATGGTGAACTTGGAAAACACGTCAGTAATCACTAGTACATTCTCCAATCTGTCACTAGAAAGCTCCAACAAAGTAAAATCAATAGCAACTACTTCTAAAGGCTTACTGGCTACCAAATGACCAAGAGGATTCCTGACTGATGGTCGAGGAAGTTTAGCAATGGTACACCGCTCACAATTCTCAATCCAGCGCTTTACATCTGCATACATGTTTGGCCAATAGCAACGTTCTCTAAGCAAGGCACAAGTTCTTTCTATTCCTTGATGACCAAATTTATTATGTACTTGAGTCAAAACCTTAGATCTCAACGAAGAAGGCAGAACCGTTTGGCGTAAGTTTCCAAGTTTAGGGTCTATGACATCTCTATACAACACACCATCAACTAACAAAAACCGTTTCATCTGTGTCAACATTGTTTGGACAGACCGAGATAACATCCTTCGCTTCTGTCTTGGTGGAACTTGTTCCGTTACATGATATTCTAGGAAATTCCTAATGTCTGGATCGCTCTTCTGCAGCTCAGCCAACTCTTCTCGATTATATGAAGGAAATGCAGCAATGTGATTTGAAATATTCAACTGTACTCTACTTGAACTTAACTCAGACGCAGACTGGTTCACCTGGGATTGCAAATCTACAGGAATGAAGTGCAACTTCGAAGATGTGATTTCGGATACTGAAATGCAAGACACAGAACATGTATCTTCTTCAGACTCAAACTGACGAGAAAGTCCATCAGCATTCTTGTTGACACGACCTGGACGATAGACTATCTGAAAGTCAAATGATGCTAATTCACCAACCCATCGTTGTTCCACAGCACTCAACTTTGCATTTTCTAAGTGTGTCAAGGGGTTATTGTCAGTACGAATGACAAAATGAGAACCATACAAGTAATCTTTGAATTTTTCAGTGACTGCCCACTTCAGACCTAACAACTCCAACTTCCGAGAACTGTATTTCTCCATGTTTTTCTCGCTATTCCGTAGTGTACGACTGGCAAATGCTATCACCCTCTCAGAGCCTCCTTGCATCTGTGATAGGACGGCCCCAAGCCCGGACTGACTAGCGTCAACATCAAGAATGAATGTATCAGAAAAATCTGCAAATGCTAATATGGGAGTACTGGTAAATCTTGATTTTAAGGTGTCAAATGCTTCCTGGCACTCCAAAGACCACCGGTTACGAAAGAACTTAGGATCATGACCGTGACAGACTCCAACTAAAGCATGCAATGGACGAGCAAGTTGAGCAAAATCAGAAATAAAACGACGATAATAACTGGCAAAACCTAGGAAAGAACGCAGTTTCTTCACACTTGTTGGTACTGGCCAATCACGTACTGCCTTGATTTTCTCATCATCGGCTGAAATTCCCTTCTCCGACAAGACATGCCCAAGATAGTGTATTTCCTTACAGAATAAATGACATTTCGATGGTTTAAGTTTGAGACCATGTTGCTTCATACGTGTAAAGACTGTGTCAAGATGGTTCAGGTGATCTGTGAACGTCTTGGAATATATACAAATATCGTCTAGATATACAAACAACATCTGGTATACAAGGTCCCCAACACACCGTTGCATTAACCTCTGAAAGGTTGCTGGAGCTCCACAGAGGCCAAAAGGCATGCGGACATACTCGTACAGACCCATGGGAGTTACAAAAGCTGTCTTCTCACGATCTTGTTCTCGTACTTTGACCTGATGGTAGCCACTAGCTAAATCTAAAGATGTGAAAAATTTAGCTCCAACTGCAGCGTCAATTAATTCCGATATTCTGGGAAGAGGAAATGCATCTTTTTTTGTCTTGGCATTTAGGCGACGATAGTCGACACACATTCTGAGAGATCCATCCTTCTTCTTGGCAAGTACGATGGGAGCAGCATAAGGACTGTGACTTTCAGTTACCATACCATGATCTAGCAAACCCTTTATATGTTGTTTGACCTGCTCGTATTGATTAGGGGGAATCCTACGAAATGTTTGAGCCACCGGCTCTGAATCAGTTGTGTTTATGTGATGTTCTACGGTATTCGTCTCACCCAAGTCAAACTCATGCTCAGCAAATATGTCTTTATGTTTGTCCAATAATTTGTTCACTTCCATCAACTCCTCATCTGAACCTGAAAAACCTGTCAAATCTACTGCTACTGAGGACTGTGAAGAAGATGTGGATTTCTCTTCAACCCTAGAAATTTGGATGTGATTCACAGAAACCTGAAATTGTACCTCAGAACTGTTATCCACAACACCATCTATCATGCGTAAAACTCCTATACGTGTTTTTGGACGCAAAGTGAATCCAGAAGTAGACATGTTATCAATCCTAACTGGAAATGTTTTACCTACTTCCACGAGTGTAGAGGCTATTAGAATCCCAACAGGAAGATGATCAGAATTCCTTAATGGCTCTACTATTCCCACTTTGGATGGAGAATGGCTATTTGTCTCTGCTCTGACCGTCACCGACGATTCTGGGGGTACAAAGATGTTCTGACTACCTGCAACTTTCACAAAACCAACCGTCTCTATCTCCTCTGCTAAATCCTTCAAAGCTAAAACTGAAGTCACAAATGTAAGTGAAGGAGAATGATCACTGTTGTCATCTTTCATCGCTTCAACGAGAGGTCGCAGTAGGTTCATACCTAACAACCCGGGAACCTGGCTCTTCTGTTCTCGGTGTTCTACATCAACTGAATCCTTGACTACCAAAATACCAACTTCCGGAATCCTAATCCCATCAACTTCAACATCAACTTCAATGTAGCCAACATATGGTATTTCAAGACCACTTGCAGAAGTAATCTTCAAAAACAGATTCTCACTATGTATGTGTGTATTACTTGGTTTCAGTAAAGAATTAAAACATTCTTCAGTAAGAGTTGAGACCATGGAACCAGTATCGACAAGACAAGTAATTTCTCTACCACCAATATTCGCCACTACTGTAGGACATGTTCCTACCAAGCGATGTTTACTTGGACCAGTTGAGTCCACTCCATGCCTCCCAATCGATGGACTCTGAGCGAAGGGAGGTTCTAGTTTTCCGATGAAGACTTCTCACTAGCTTCCTTCTTCAGCTTCTCGATGGTTGCCTGGGCTTCTTTAAGCTGTAACTTATAACATCTATCCCGGGAATGACCTACACCGTTACAAAAATCACACTTGATTCTGGTTCTACCTTTGTCACTACGACTTGGACGAGACTCAAGATTACGTGTTGGATTAGACTCAAGAGTTTTGTTTGTCCCTTGTATTCTAATATGCTCCTGCAATAAATGTGTTACATCCTCTATTTGTTTCTGCTGTTGTTGTATTTGTTGCTGTTGTTTGTGAACAATGTCAGTCAATGCTAGTGTTTCTGAAGCAAGGCTTGTTCTGGCTGCTTGAATGGAAACTTGCTGTTTCGTGGTTGAGATGTCAGTGGGATCTTCAGCCCAATCAATGGCTTCAGACCTCAAAGTGTAAAATTCAACCGAAGGGGTATCTTTTACTCTTTTCCTCAAATGTTTCCTTAGGAGACTATCTGAGACACCATCTGCAAATTGGTCACACAACACCTGTTCTTTGTGAACACTAAGATGGGGTGATTTTCGACAAGCCCTGTCAAACAGGTCAAGGAGGGCATGAGAAAAGTCACGAATGTTCTCTCCTTCCTTTTGTCTTCTCTCAAAGAAAGCACGCTGTAAGTGAACGGAAGACCCCTGATCTCCAAAAACTTCCCTAAGAATTCTGAAAACATCTTCCACTTTCTTCTTAGGTCTGAATTTAACTTCCTCTCTGGCTGGCCCAATTAAGTGTTGGAACACAAAATCAACTTTATCTACCTCTGCTAATGAGCGAGACCTGATAGTTGCCTTAACATCACAGATCCAATCCTCTAATTTGAGTGTTGTCTCAGGTAACCCTGAATATGTTGCAAGCTTTTTCTGGCTAGGCATGAGAAGGAATGCGGGACTAGTTTTGGCCTTTGGTTCACTGGTAGTTGCATGGAGTTGTTCCTGCAACTTCTTTATCTGATCCATCATTTCCCCTTCAGACAGTTTTGTTTCTGGTTTCCCAACTGACTTAGGTGACTTTCCACCAGTAGCCATCATGAAAGAATTATACACAGATCTCTGCTGATTATGAGGAGAAAATGTCAGTACACGGACAAATATAATCACAAATACAAGCAGCACAAGCAAGCGGTTAGCATGCATTACCTTAACACGTGTTCTACGTCGGTAAAGAAGCAAATACGGTACGTTGGTGCTACAGCGGTTTGCGGATACGAGAGGCTTAGAGAGCAACAAGCGGGTAGTAACTGCAGTGAAGACAGCAGGGCAGGGAGAGAGGCATGAGGTACAGAAGCCAGAACTGTTCCGGTAAAGCTTCAACCTGCAGATGTAAAAAGAGGAAAAAAACTACCACGGTGTTACTAAAAGTCCACACAAAAATGTGAGTATATACTCAAATGTGTAATATCTAAAGCGTCATCTCCATGGCAAACTTGATTTTACCAAAATAGCTGATCTTCAATCGGATCAATCAAACAATCAATCTGTTCTATGTATGTGATAAAGCTGTGTCTAACATGCAAAATTTACGATTGTCAAAACGACATGCTCAGTGGCTACAAGTTAAAATACAAATGAATGTGCAATATTAAAATGTTAAAAATCTTGACTGCAAGACACTGTTCCCAGTGAATATGTTTACAAGTTCACCATCAGTGAAAGAGTTCCGTAGCTGAATACTAGCAGCACACTCCACGGCCGGTCGACTGAAAAACAGGTGATGGTGAAGAATGTCTCTCCAAGCTGTCTCAACGACTGGGTGCCGAACTGTGGGGAAGATGTGTGAAGCTAAGAAGGCTCTCCGAGAAGATGCGTGTAGCTACATGGAAAATACTCTCACTTCAGACGAACATCTGGGCAGCTGTCTGTCCGGAGACTAGATGATGTAAACGCACTGCTGCAGCTGCAGCAAACCACCCTTCAGATCAAAGATGCTTCTCTCCAGAAGGTTGTCATCGAAGATAATAATGATGATGATGATGATGATGATGATAATAATAATGACTGTCGTTTGTATTTGATCAAAGTGTCACAAATTAAGATGTCTTTTATGACATCCTGCCGACTACGCCATTTTTGTAACCGAGCTGGAAAGGTTACGCAGAAATTTGAAAGTGACACTGGGTATATATTCCACTATAAATTGCTCAAAATTTTATTACAAAAAACGACAGTCATTCTTCAGCAGTCTGTAATAACAGAAAACAGAAGAATAGAAATTAATTTATTTACAAATATACAATGACTATGAATCCAATATTCAATTATCTAATTATTTGAAATAACCATCTCTCCTTATCCTTGGTTATCTTTTATCTCGAGAAATTGCTTTACTGGTTCTATAAACCTCAATTTCCATTGATTTGTTCCATAGAAATGTTTTTGCTGCGAATTTACAAGTACATTTCTTAGAGAGGCATAAAAATATTAAAGGCATAAAAATTTAATCAAGGAGAAATAATCTCCATAAGCACTTGCTATGCAATAATTTTACAACACATTAATCTCTAAATCTCCAATTTCTTAGGCACATTTCAAGCAATAATGTTTTACACACGTACCCAAATATTATGGATGCTGGATAAGGGATACACTGGTCTACTCGAGAAGGCTTCTCTATTTGTGACCACTCAGGAACCACAGAACCACAAGCAGTAGCTGTAATAAAATTACTGTACATATTAAGTAATCTCATAAATACTAATAAATGTTTCGATGAAGGAATATTAAATAATCATCAGTGCCATCAAAAAGTTTCATCTCCACAGTACATGTGTACACATCCGTAGTTATTCTATATTGATGAATTTACAATGCATTTTATACCGTACACCTATTTCTTAACATTTGTTTGTTTAAACAGTAAGGCTCATAAAAAGAGTATTCAATATTCTGTATTCGTACATCCATCTATATGTCTCATGTGTTTTATTTCAGGCTAAAACATTTTCTAAGTTCTCTTTCCATCCACGCTATCCAAATTTGAGTTCAATAAAGTGCATTGACCCTATAATTCAACATACAAGAAACATGTATTTAGGATCGAAGTATGTACAAGTATACAGTCAATATTACCAGGAGGTTCGGTATCGAAAATTCAAGTCATCTTATGCACAATTTTCATATAGACTTGGCTTTCAACCTGGGATATTTATTTTATGGCATAAAAATGTTTCATACAGACTTGGCTTCCAACCTCGAGTATTCATGGCATAAAAATGTGTCGTAAAGTGCTATTTAAGATAACATCAAAATTTACGAAGTTGAAACACTTACCGGAGCAGTTGTGGCTTGTGTACCTATGCCTCGGGATGTTTGGGCAACTACACGATATGCATGTATACGATATGTGTATGCACATGCGGCGTGCTAACCATGGCAAAACCACGTGAGAAACACAGCAAAATATAGACAAGCTGGCTCGCAATAAGGTGTGGCTGGCAGCAGCAACGACAAGCAGTCAAGTGACCTACCCATGCTTGCTTACTCTCCAAGAAAACTAGCGAAAAATTCACGGAATGTGCGTCCGAAGCCCTATGCTTTTGAAACACTGCACGGAATAAAAGGCTTTTTCGCACTGCATGTCATATGCAAATTGTTACGCAACTCGGTATGCTCTATTCAACGGAAAACACAAGAGGGCGCTCGCAATGCTTCGACAACTTTCGCATCGCTGTTTATGCTAAAAATATTAGACATCGACAAAGAAATATTTTACAGACGGGACCTGGCAGCATGATTACAGGAATTTAAGTCTGGCCGGTCACACCTTCCTTGGCAGCACCATTATACATGTAGCAATAGACTGGTAGCCTGACAGGCATTATATCACATGCATAAAAACATCGGTATCCTTGACAGTATGCACCTTTATGGCTTATGAATTATGGTCTACTGAATTTGTTGGGAACAGACCTTTTTTAGGAGGAACAAGCCCTTTTTTCAGTACATGTGCGTATATTTTGAACCTTAAGCCACAAGAGTCTTGAGATGACGTTGGCCATTGACGTTGTTTAATTTTTTTAGGGTTATTTTCTTAAAAAATAAAGGTACCCAAACTAATTGCAAATTTTTGAATTTTTGCACATTGATTTTCCTGAAGGTCTCTCTCAAATGAGGTCATTTCCTACAGACCAGCCACATGCATCGGCATTTTGAGCGTCAACTTACATAACGTCCATTGGCTGCGTCGTAGTTTGAACACATTTCGAGCAACAAGCACGCGTGTTTGGAACATTTCAAAACTGCGCAATGTGTGCGCAGTACGCAGTTGCAGTTCTCCTACAGAGATGGCCGTCTTTGAGAGAGACCTATTCCAGGGGTCTGGAAGTGCATCACTAGGGGTGAACTTTCAGGCTCTATTGCCAGCCAGCCAGTGATATGATGATGTAATGTTCATGTTATTTGTCTGATCCACAGGATGGCGGCAAACCTCAAGAGTGCAAGACACAATAGATGAGCTACCCTTCAAGTCCTGTCATGACATATGCTACAATCATGTAGAGTATACACAACTGCCTTCATATCACCCCACCCTATAGTCAACTCGGTTAATTTTGAGATTACATCCATTTTAACATTGTTTCTCCATTACAAATGGGGTACATTACACATGTCATAAATGTACATAATACCAAAACAAAGTAGATACTTTTGTGACGTCCAGTCATTGCTGACAGTGACGTACATGTAAGGCTTTCTTGATTTGCAGTTTTTGCCAAGCTACAGGAGGCCAACTGGCAAATCCAAACTATATTTTGGGCCAAGAGTTGTCTTTTCTATAATAAGATGTATGCATTTTGTTTTTATAAAGCATGCCGTGCTCACTTTGAAGAGCATGATGAGTGAATGAGTAAGCTTTTTAAGTTGTCTGATTTGCTGGAGGCGTTGATGTCTGTGACTGTTACATTGTGTGTATCATGTAGCCTACCATTGTCCCTAACACTGTACATGTACCCATCACCATCTAGTCATGTAGTTATTATATCAACAACTTTAACACTAGAGTCCACTTGTCAGTCACATCCCTTCATATTTTGCTGGTCTGTTTGAGCTTAAAAGCCTGTGTTTTGTACTTAAGTAAAGAAATGTAAAATTCATCAAACAAGTGTATGAAGTTTGCAGCGTATTGAATTGTGGCTGTTCGCTTGACTACCAATGTAATTATGACTGTTGACACGCTTTATAGTGAGAATTACTTGCAATTTTTGCCCATTTTTTAATGAATTCATACACAGCAATATTCAATTGTTCCGGTAAGAACCAAGTCAATAACTTAACAGGGTTACTTGAGAAAATTACTAGGAAAGGCCGAAAACAAATGTTTGGAACTGGCATTGATCTGCAATTGAGAGTCTGGTTTTAGCAGGGATGAGATTGTCAATTTAAAAAAGTCTGAAAATTGGATGGGAGGTTTGGTGATGAAAGATGCGTTTCTTTTATACTGATAATGTCTTTCTCTCAGATTCAAAAAGTCGTATTCAAAGTCAGAAAAATCTCATGCCTGGGTTTTAGGCCTATTAGCAGTTCCATATTGGTAATGTTCGACTATCTATGTGTAGTTTGTTTGTCCATTTACCTGCACAATTGCTCATAGTAAATAAGTTTGAACAAAACGCAGTCCAAAAGGTGAATGTCAAATATAACATGGATGCGTGATCTTCACACCACTTTAATAAACCTCTGCACTGATGACATCACACTTTATATAAATAATGAAAGGTTTGCGGAAACATCATGTGCGAATGATTTCTCAACTATAAAAAGAATGGTTCAGAAAAGAACCAGAGGTATAAACTTGACGTTCCGGTCAGTATGCTCTGACTGTCTTCAGGAGAGGGTCATAGCATACTGACCGGAACGTCGAGGTTATACCTCTGGTTCTTTTCAGAACCATTCTCTTAGTTGAGAAATTATTCGCACATGGTGTTTCCGCAAACCTTTCATTATTTAGTATCTCCACCATGCAAAGCCTCAAATCTTACGTCACACTTTATTTACATGTGTGCTTTCTTATGGGAGCGAAGGTTTTGAAGCCCATAGAAAAACGCACATGTAAATAAAGTGTGACGTCATCAGAACAGAGGCTTATTGGAAATATCCCTTGCCTGTCTACCTGTACGGATTGTCTCAGAACCACACAGAGATGACCTCATAATATATCCTTTCTGTCATACCTATATTAGCTTTGCTTGGAGCTGTGTTCACAATTTCAGTGTCAAATACGTGCTAGTGCAAGTAACCTATGGCAACAGTCCGTAAACATGTTTCCAATGTTTGCAGTGTGCTGGACATTGGCTGTGGATTTGTATCATAAATTCTTAAAGATGTGACAAATATGTACATAACTTACAAAAGAAAATGAATTCAGTGTTGTAGATTTGCCACTGGCAGTGTTTGCTGTTTTTGAGTTTCACAGATTCATTCTGTATAAGTTAGGAATCACAATACTGTTCCACACAGCTGTTTCAGAGAAATGGCAGTAATGTGGATGTTATCGTTTGGTTGACGACCCAAAAAGGAAACGGGAAACAATAAACTGAAGAAGTTCATGGTTGAAGTGAAGATGCAGTAACAAAGGAAAATTTGATGAGGACTTGCCAAGCCAGCATATACAGCTGGATGCTGATAAGAAAAACAATTGTCCAAGGTTTTGTTTTCATGTCCTTATTTGTAGGGATGCATTTGTGTTGTTTCCCTAGAGCTAAATTGTATCACTAGAAAGCTAACTCGGCATACAAAATGTAGCATACTTGGGACATCCATGTTTGCAAACCTTGGGAAAGCTCCAGACTTTTTATGGCTGTTGGCATACATATCTATGTTTAAATTTGAAACAATTCACAAATGAAGCCGATGTCTTACGCCAAAATGCACCATTAGTCACAGCTTTTTATGTCACTCTGCGCAAAACAATGCACACATGCGCATATTCACTTCAAGTTCAGTTGATTGTTCTGAAAACCCTGCCTGTGCATGCGTGTGTTGCACTGTTGCGTTGCATATGGAGCTCTTGGTGGAATGGAATTCAAAACATGCTTACATTCTTGTGTGTCTGTGCTGGTTTTATGCTATGATTTGTGTATATGATTCTCAAATGAAACGGCATGCATTGTGTTCTAATTCGATAACAAGACAAGTTTGGACTATTGGGTGAAGTACATTTCCTAATTATGATAAGAATCTAGCTTATCAGTGTTGTGCTTATCCAATAGCATGTAGTCTAGATGTCAGCGTCTGTAATCTCTCCTGACATTCTGTCTGCTTTTGTATAAAATGTATACATCTACAAACAGTGCTTTTATGATCAGTGGAAAATATCATTTAAGATGTGTGTTAGCAGTTGGCATTGCTATGACTGCATGATTGCCTTAAAATGCTGCAACTCATTAAAAATAGATTTCTTAGTCTGATTTGTACCCATACCATGAATCAGGAAAACTGGTTTGCCTGTGTATACACAATGTATGTTACATTGATCTTTGTTAAGCACATGTATCAATGGCAAACATAACCAAATCAGCAAAGAAACTTGATCTGGTACAGGATACCCTTTGGAGACGTGCACCATATGGATTGTAGAGCAATTTCCTTAGGTGAATACCTCTCCAAAAGGTTATCACAAAATAGACACATGGATTTTACTCAAAAACTGGGAATTTTCAAGGTGTGTTGATCAATCACAAATTGAAGTATTTTATGTAAGGGATATTAAGTCTGAATTTCAGCCCATGAAATTAATTCTGGTTAAAATAGCATTTTGAAAGTACACTTTCAAACTCGAAAACTTTAGGACACAGAAATGACTCCACAAGGATACAAATTCCAGAAATTGTGTCTCAGCACACTTGTGACTGTGCTGTTATATTTATCTAGGTACATGTATTAGCCTGCACCCCCTTCCCCCGGTAGTGCCATAATGCTTCGTAACAGCCAACATTTAACCTGTCCGTTACCAATGATCAGTGTTCTCTTAATTGTCCTCTGGTCACGTGCAATAACCTGCTCAGATCCAAGTCTTCAGAATTCTAGTTGTTCCCATTTAGGCAGCACGGCTTATTCTTTGAAGGTAGATTGTATGGTTTGTTAATACGAAGTGAAGATTATCTTCAAGCGTTTTGTATTCTTTGTGTGTCCTGGTTCAGTGCTGCTGTTATAATTAATTCGTAACCATGGAGGAAGATTAAAAATGAAAAGACTTCTTCAGCCGTGTGTTTTGTCAATAGTTTTGTTTACTGTGTTTTGAAGGGGTACAATGTTGATCATGAAATTTCTTGGTCGACAATGTTCATGTGGTGTATTTTATATGGCCAAGTATGGACCACAATATTGTGTACTTTTAGCAATTGTCTGAAGTTTATGGATACCAGTGCATAGTGATGCGAATGGTTGCATCGGATACACACCTATGTTCCGACTGCTCATACATTGTATTCCTATCCCTAACCCTAACCGGGAGTAACCAACGCAATCTTATGTGCAGGTTGTCGAAACATAGAGCAGTCACCGTTGCATCATGGCGTAATTATCATTTTTGTGCAGTGACTTATGTATATTTATTTTCAGTGGCACTCATCTGCCGGATCATTGTTACTAAATCCCGTAATGATGGAAGAGGCACGTGTATTTCGTGGCTACTGAAAGAAAAATGGCAGTTACTAAAACAAAAGGTGAACTGCCAAGCATTAAGGCACGATATCGCGACGACATAATTTTTGTGTGTCCTCCCCCAACCCCAAAGCATTTCAATTAAGATCATTATTCAAAGTGCACGCTATCAGATCTATGAATGAGCACCATTTCCCATCGTCAGTGAAAATAATCTCCATCCTGCATCTAAGAATGTTGTCACATAGTAAGAAAATGATACGTGTAGGTCCCAATTTTTAAGTGGTGTAAAAAAGCTCCCAAGACAGACAAACACATGTACATGCAGAGAATCCCTCGGTTCCCTAATGCTGCTTATACTTAAAGCGTTTATTTCTATAGAGAAAGCATTCACCATAAAACTTAAAGGGTGAGATGAATTTTCTGATGAGGGACACATTTTTGCAAGTTTTTACTCCTCTTAAAATGTTTGAAAACTACTTGACATTTCCTTTCGGTTATTTGTATTGTAAAGTACACTTGTTTAAACATGAACAAAATGTCCATGCTTTTCGAGACAACTGAGGGCGCTGTTGCTGTGATGTCATTTCAGGAAGACACCGTTCAGTTTAGGGGTTTTCTGTTCAAATTGTTGACTCAAAACGTTTTTTCATTGAAAACATTTGTGAGAAAAGTTTGCTCATTGACTCACTGCCATGTACCGACACAACGAATCACCAAAGAAAAGAAAATTTACAACAGCAAATATATCCAAAATTCTGACAACTTTAGTGCTTAAGTAGCTGTAACATTGAGGGTTTCTGCCTGATCATCACACAGTTGTCATGAATATGGAAATTAGTATTGGCATAAAAACGAAAGTTGAACATTATGGTAAAATGGGACACAAAGCATTTTCAAGAATTACATTTACAAAAGTACATTGCGTGGGCCTTTTAAAGTGTGATGGAACTTGACAAATTACACCATGGCCCCACTATACAAATTATTTTCTTGACAAGAAAAAAAAAAATCACAAAATTAGGAACCTGAATTTGTCACAAATCTGTCAAACACACCCTTCATACAAACAGCTTGATCTGCAAACAAAGGCTAACAAGACAAGCCAAGCTTTTTAACCAGTTCGCGCTGGAGGCCGTATTTTCACACACAAAAGTTTTGCAGTAGTCGGAACGGATGACGGATAAACACGCAACGAGCGAGGCCGGAAACATCTGTCGGCGACCCGCTTGCAGCGAGTGAGGCTGGAAATACGACTGTGCTGACCGAGGGTGATGGCTTCAACCCGCCTGGCTTGAGGTCGAGCAAAAAGTACATGTAATCCTGCACCTCGTTCCGTTCTTGTCAAAATAATCCTGGCGTGAACTGGTTAAAACTGCCCCCAGAACACACAACATTCTATTTGATTCACCCGTGACTTATTTATTCTGAATGTGGACAAATTGTGGCATCTTCGCTTGAGTGTCAGGCGCCATCAGCAATACTAATGCCCCTTCGACTCTTTGAGGGGGTAACTGCGCACAAAGTCTATTGCAAAATTTTATCTTCCCATAAGTTTATAATTCAGGTTGTCATTAAATGAAGGGTAACTCCTGATGACATCAAAGTGTACTTTGACATTGCATTAATTTACAAAACTCTTCATCGTTTTACCCTTAACTAGTCTTTTGACGTACTCATTTAATATTTCAGCCTATTTACATTTACAATGGCAAAGCTAATAATGACAGATGCAGATGACAGATGCAGATGAGAGTATACAGTGTAATACATGTATGTTGAAGTACATTTTCTCAAGGTCTGTATCGCCAAACTGTCACACTTGATGGAGTACATTACAATTACAGTACCGATTATAAAGCCAAATTTATCATTAAAATCCTCTTAAGCCCCACGAAATTTCAAAAACACTAGGTAAAGAAAGACTCGAAAAAGGAATACTTGGGAAAAAATATCACAGTATATATACAGACATAAAAGATATAAAAGCGACTTGTACATGAAGCATCAGATGCAATCGTTTCTGTGTAATATGAGGGAACTGACTGAAACAGGCTTGACTATGCATAATTTACATTTCACTTGTTTTAGATTTAATCATCTTGCAGAATAAACACAATACTTAACAGCTCTCTTGCGTACTTAAAAAAAGAATTTAAAACAAAGGATGAAGTCTATCACCACTTCAATTCTACCTATAATAGACAATGATAAACATCTAATCCCTTTTTATTACAAATCCTGCACAAAAGCAAGCAGTCAACATTTCCAAAATATCTGCATATATTATTAAGATTCTGAGTGATGCATGTATATAAAAATAAAGAGCACAGTATGCTCCGTCCGCTGCACATGAAAAGCTAAACACACAAAAAGAACATGTACGGCACAGTCATTTTGTGGGATCTGCAGCTGATTTCACGAAACTTTATTGCGCCACAATTTATTGTGCAAGTTGCGCAACATTTCGCGCTGCGCGACATTTTAGTTATGACATTTCACGAAAGTTTCAAAGTGCATAAGTCGGTGACTTGTGCAACAAATTATGGTGTACTTGCGTAATCATTTTAGGTGGCCTAAGTTGTGGCGTAACGACCGAAAATGACCTATTGTACCAGTAAATTGTGATTGTCGGGAAGCCTGGTATTGCACAACTTACCAAGGTTGATACAATTAGGCACTCACAGCTTTGTGTTGGAAGTAAATGAATTGCTATTTTATTTGTGACAAGAGTTTTTAGAGTTGCCACGTGATTCCGAAAAAAAGTCGGACAAAAAAGTCGTTTCACGAGCGAATGAAATCATACACAAACAGCCTTCATAAATGCTGTGACTATCCTCGTCAAAAAATATTTAGATTATTTAAAGCGATTGTAAGCTTATCAGTTGCGCGATACATTTGTTGCACAAGTCCTATGCACGGAGTAAGTTACGCACTGTTTCGTGCAACCGGTTGCTGGTCACATATGTACTTGATTCCATTACAAAAATACAGGATACTGTAGTTGGCCACTGTAGGCCATACGTGAGTGATGTGATTACAGGATGGTGCAGAATGCTTGCTGGCCAGTCTCCTGGTCCAGTAATGTGGTATAAGGAGATTGTATGCAGCCATGTGGGTCCTCAGTGTTGTCTGGGTAGCCAGTCACGTCTACCATGGAAAGACTGGTATCCTGACTCTCCTCCTGTCAAGTACATAGAAAAATAAAACAAACTAATAGGGTGCAGACCTGTAAATGGGCCCAGAATTCCCCGCTACGCCGGCCACATCACAATCTGTATGCCCTCAAATTCTTTGATATTAGAGCATTTTGTGGACCCTGAACTGGGAGGTTTGTAGACAAAAGATGAGTGAAAGCCATGCACAGGAGTGTGAGCTATGTCTGTGAAATTCAGATGAAATAGGCCTGAATGGAAACGAACTTTCATGCTCGATGAAATGAGTTTTAAAGGGACACTGCGTCCTGGAATGAGCCCAGTTGGGCTACAAAACACACTTTGAACGAAATGCTGCTAATCGGTAAGAACATTTAAAAGTAGGATATAAACATCCACACAACTATCCTTTAACATCTGGGTGTTCTTGTTTTATTTTTGTGTTATGTGAGCGAGAACGACTTTCGGGGTCCACTTTTGTGACCCCAAAAGGTGGGACTGTCCATGCTAGTTGGTGCTGTGTGTAATTTTATGTGACATACGCAATGTGTATCGTACATTGACTGAAAGGACAGGAAAAACGCATGCGTACTCGTTGTGTCTGATGTAAACAACCTTTTTCCCCCATCTTTTCTAGGGAACAGTAAGACATTAGATTGTTTCCTTTCAACCAAATGTTTGAAATTGGATAAGTAAACAATCCAAACCATGAAAATTTCCTGGATTTCAGGATGCAGTGCCCCTTTAATTTGATGGGTGTTGTATTTCAAATAATTTGGAAGTACGTGTAATTAAACTGAGGTCTATAGGAGTCAATTTACAGGTCTGCACCCATAGGTAATATTTGGACTCGTACCACTTCAAATAGCATGTTATGTCTGTGTTACTCAAGGTTCATGTTGAAAATATAAATTGTTTTTCAAATTGTTAGCTGAATGGCATTACCTGTTTGTTATTTCTGACTTGTAATGGTCCCCGTTGTAGCCTGCGAGGGCGCCCTTTCCTGAGGGGTGTATTACCAGGTCCATGTAGCTTCTTAGCGTGTAGCTGCACCCTCAATGGATGCAGGCTGTCTTTACTATGGTCACCGTCCTGAGGAACATTACAACCAAGAATCATTACACTGTCACTCCTTGTTTTATTGGAAGGTTTTTTTTTTTATAATAGATGAATTACGCAAGGACCAAAGGAAGCCATATAGAAGAGGTATGAAAAGCAGCCGATCTTTGACACTATCAGACAATAGGTGGCGGTATTTGTAGTGGCATATTTCGCAACTGACACAAGATTTTGCTGACCGATGATTTCACTCACACACACATCGTCAATGTTTTCATGAACTAACACTCAGGCGTTAGTGGGTGTTACTTCCTGAAAACCGCGTAATCAACAATTTGGGTTTCGAGCGCACATTGTACACTGACGCAAAACAAAATGATCTTGGTTTTCACAAACTAACACTCAAGCATATTGCAGAAATATTCTTCGGAGAAAAAAAGTTTGAAAGGTTTGACACAAATTCAATCCATCCATATACACTGTGTACTTGTGGGCTTACAAAAATAAATTAATTAAAAACCTTTATACTGGTGAAATTAAGATCAGCGTTACTTCGTGAGAACGATAATGTACGGAGTGCATCCATGCAGTACGTGCCACACTGTTTCGGGTGTTAGTTCTTGAAAACAGAATATCGTGATTCTGTAAATATGCACGCGTGCCGGGCACACACGCTCAACTGAGTGTTAATTACTTCGTGGTTTTGGTGACAAAATTGTAACTTGGAGGGAAGGGGGAGAAGGAGGTGACACCCTGCAACACCCCATTCTACCGACGCCCTAAAAATGGATGTCAACGCACCTCAGGTTCAGGGTAGTTCCTCATGTTCTTGAGTCTGTTGCTGGTCCTCAGTCCAATGTGCCTGACCCTCTTGCCCAGTGGTACATTACGGGTAGGACCACGAGTCTTGGTACCAGACACTGAATGCTGAGTATATCTGCTTGATTGCTGTCGCTGTTGGAGTTGTTGTATGGCTCCTTGTAGCGCATCTATCCAGGATAACGCTATGTTGTGATTGGTGGAGTACAGCAACAAACTTTGGTCGCCGTGCACAACCTACAGTCAATAGCAAACACAACCAAATAAGATATCAGCAAATGTTGGCAATGGCAATTTGGTCAATCCCTGCATTTGGTTAAAGGAACATAAACAGAGTCTTTTTTTTCACAACATGTTTTTGTCTCTGCCATACAGACATATATGACCCTGATGTACCCTGTATTTTAAGTGCAGAGAAGTACATGTAGTACAATAACTTTGTTACCAATTGCACCACTTTTATACTTTCATGGAAGAAATTTTCTATAAAATTTTGTCGACTTATGAAACTAATATGCAAAACATTTAATAAATCAAACAAATGTTAATTAATAAATTAACCCTATTCTTCCCAAATCCTCTCTGCAAATTGATGGATTTTGCAGGATGGAGGCTGTATGGCAAAAGTTTGTTGCCGATTTCGGAGGATGCACTGAGCCAAGGTATTACCGGTAGGTTGCACTTTGTTTGTGCTCAGCCATGTACAAATTTAGGCCTACATTTGAAACCCTCGGCACTGCTCCAGGATGTCACTGGCTCTGCCTCAGCAGTGATTGCAGGAGGCTTTTGCAGGATTGAGGCTGTATGCTATTTTCACATGGAGGCAATTGGAGGATTTTGGAGGATTGAGGTTACATCCTAGCAAAAATTCCTAGGGAGCTAGGGTTCGAATGGCTGATTTTGACTGCATTGGCAGCAGGGGTAATCAAACCAGTCAGTATGAATGTTGCTGCATGTATTGAACCTGTTAGCAACTGTATTACATTGTATTACATTGTATTACATTGTCAGAGATGAAACTGGCATGTGGCAAAAAAATCGGAAAAAAGGCCGAACAAAAATACGTGTCCGAAATCTGGGCCGCGCTGCCATTACACACATATACATGCATGTACAATATACTTCATGCCCAATTTCCGGACACCAACTCCTGCTTTATTTTTTATTCAAACAAAATTTTATGATGAAAAAAAAAATGGTCAGCGTTTTCATTGCATAAAATGCCTGAATTACGGTTAGAGTAATGGAGTCATCAACAAAGAAGTTCACTTCTTACTTGAGAAAGTCGAGGGAAAAGTCCGAAAGACAAGGGCACTGTTCATGGTGCTTCAATCATGTCCATGATTCAACCACTTGCATTCATGCATGGGAAAAAAATCAGGCATTACCGTCTTTCTCTTCCAACAAATGCCAGTGAAATGTTTCGCTAATGCTCTCTTCGCTATCCTCGAGATATTCATCATGATTTTTAAAGCATTGCATTTTGTACAACTGAATCTGAAACCTCCGAAAATCGCACAACATAATGATTTTATCCACAGGATCCTTCACAAGGCTACCCGTCCCGGCCGGCCATGTGCTAGCGGACGGTACGGTGGTGCGGTACGTACGCACGCTGGTACCATTGCATATTCGCACGCACGTGCGACACAGTGATTTTTCCATGTCGCCTGTCAATGTTTAACCTTTTGTCCAGCCGGAGAAGGCTCCGATCAGTGTTATGCCCTGTGTTTCTACCGTTGAAACTCTCCAATAACGACTGGTGAAAGAGATTAAAACTACGTTCGCGATGATTTTAGCACGCCATTTCCATCGACTTTCTTCGAAATTATGATTGAAATAAAATGACATTTTGTGAAAAAATCATCAGAAAATCAAATTTTGTGGGACACACTGTAAAAAAATCGGAAATTTCGTTGGAAAATTCAAAAAGTCGGTTTTCCGATTAAAATCGGAAAAGTTTCATCTCTGCATTGTGTATATTCACTGATGAATCCATAAACCATGGATGGCACTTTTGAGCATCACAGGGAGCAGTAAGCAAGGTGGTTTGGGGCAGTACCGGGACTAATCGGTCATTTACCTTGAAGAGAGCTCCAGTACCTGATGTCTTGAGTTCTCCTAGTACACACTGTACCTCACATCGCTCCAAGGGAATGACACCACGACAGCAATAGCTACGTGTAGATACTAACGGATCCAGTAGGTTGGGCTTGGCATATATCAGCATGTCATTGAACAGGAAAAACATGCGTTCATGAGCGCTGGAGCCTTTCTTGCTGACCTATATGATGCGACAACAGCAATGAGGGCGAAGCAAAATGCAAACTTAAACAAGTGATACTTGAGGTTGAAACTTGAGGTACGGGGTGAAACCCTGTAACGTAAAAACCCTTTAAAACCTTGTAAGACCCATTTACAGTTGTTAACACCTTGTTTAACCCTGTAACACCGTGTAAAATCCTAATAACCTGTAACACCTCACAAACCTCGTAACACCTCATAAGACCTGTCACAGTCGTTAACATCTTGTTTAACCCTGTAACACCTTGTAAAAACCTTACAACCTGTAACACCTCACAAGCCTCGTAACACCTTGTTAGACCCCCAACAGTTGTTAACACCTTGTTTAACCCTGTAACACCGTGTAAAATCCTAATAACCTGTAACACCTCACAAACCTCGTAACACCTCATAAGACCTGTCCCAGTCGTTAACACCTTGTTTAACCCTGTAACACCTTGTAAAAACCTTATAACTTGTAACACCTCACAAGCCTCGTAACACCTCGCAAGCCTCGTAACACCTCGCAAGCCCCGTAACACCTTGTAAAACCCCAAGCACATTGTAAAAACCCATAACAGTCTGTGAAAACCCGTAAGACCTGTAAAAACCTGTAAAACCCTGCAACACCTTGATAACCCTGTAACACCTTGTAAAATTCCAAACACCTCATTAAACCCGAAACACCCTGTGAAAACCCATAAGACTTCGTGTAATTCTGTAAGACCTTCTGAAACCCATTTACACCTTGTGGAACCCTGTAACACCTCGAGCTGGAATGAAAACCGGTCAATGCAGCTTGTTGATTCAGAAGTGGTACTCGCGCACAGTTATGTTGCCCATGTATTTCACTGGTGCACATGGCTCGACGCCATACATTTTTATTCATGCTTGGTCTCAGTCGTCTTGGTCTCGGTCTCGGGCCTGCAAGGTATCGGTCTCGGAAGTCTTGGTCTCGAAAGAGATGGTCTCGGACTTGAATGCATTCATTTTGGTTTCGGTCTTGTTCTCAGACATGAAGGTCTCAGCCACAACGTATTGTATTGTATTTTTGATGTTCAAAGGTTTCTACTCTCTTATAGGATGGTTTTGGATATTGGTCTCAAACACTTGGGTCTGATCCAATTCTTGAACACCTGACAGTAAGACTTGGACTACATACCTTCATGAGTGTTCCTTCTCGGATGAATTTTCGGCCTGGTGCAATGATTCTAGGCGCTCCTCCAGTCAAACTTGTCTGAATCAACAGCATCTTCTGAAAGTTCTCGTGTTCACGGATGTATTCATTGATTCCATATGTCACTTCAGTCATTCTGGCTGCAGCCTCTGTAATACAAATACATACACACAGGTCCAAAATAAGGTACAACAAATGTATGCTCCAAGCGTTTCATCAGTAGAAGTACACACATCTCTTTTAGAATTATAACTTGAATGAAATTGAAAGAGATATTGTAATAGATTTGAAACTGGCCTATGGGAAAACAATCAGAAAAAAGGCTGAACAAAAATACGGGTCAGAAATCTGGGCCGCGTACAAGTACACGCACATGTACAACACATGTCATGCCCAGTGTTTGTTTATCGATATCAACGCACCACGCTCGGGGTTTCACGATGTGCGGCGCCGTCACATGGCCTGTCCTATTCAATTAATAGAGGGTGCAACACTTGCATCTGGGCTAGCGGTAGCGATCAGGCTATCTCCTGCGCATACTTGGTGGTTTCTAATGCAGTCACATGGCCACCCAGAAAGAGCTATTGATTGGACTGCTGGTGTGGGGGCCACAATTGGGCCAGTGGTAGCTCAAAAGGCTAGCTCAAAAGCCAGGATTTGTTGCGGGTATGGGCTGGATGGCTGATTACAATGCTGCATGCAAGCTGCATCCCTACAGAAGTCCGTTGGACAGTAGCGAGTCATGAATAAAGTTACGCCATGTTGTTTACACTTCTTTGCGACTATTTTGGCAGCATTTTCTATGGGTCGAACAAAAGTTGAAGATAAACATTGTTGTGATGTTGTTTACACTTCTTTGTGACTGGCCAAACAAAAGTTTGAGGTAACGGGGGCATTGGTTTGGGTATTTCGAGGTATGGGGGCATTTATGTACATAAAATCCTATTCTCTTGATGGGAATGAGGTATTACTTTGAGGTAAACAGTTTTGAGGTAACCAAATTTGTGTTAACGAGATTTTACCGTATTTGATTGAGTTTCAACGAATCACCTTATTGGGACTGTGAGGAGTGAGTATTTCCTCATGTGGGGTTTGAGCTCAATATCAACATGACCGAGCCCTGAAATTACTGAAAGACTTGTCACCTTGTAATTGCTCATATTCTTCATGATTCTCATCCGTACTACTCAGCAACTCCTCCAGCAGTAGTTTGTATCTGCATGGACACGGGACAAAGTATTAGGCAATATGAGTGGTGCCATTTTAATACAGATTTTTGAAATTTGGTTTGAAGTCCACTATTCGGTTTCAATTTTGGAAACTGGATATGCGAACCCAACCTTATAATAATAATAGTAATAATAATCGGCATTTAAGAACGCTCTTATTAGTTAACTAATCACAGCGCTTACAGTATTATTATTACCCCTGATCATTGGGCCAATTAAACATTCCAAATACCATCTCAGCTCCCTGGGGAGTATACAGCTTGATGCTGCCTGCTAGGCACAAGCAAGCTTATTCAATCACAGTAACCATCTCTGCCCTCACAGGTACCCATTTACTCCTGGGTGGAGAGGAGCAATGATTGACAAAGTGCCTTGCTCAAGGGCACACGCACCATGACCCCGGCTGGACTCGAACCCACAATCCGCAGCTTTACCCACAGACCACAAATCAAGTGCCCTTAACCACCAGGTTTAAAAAATTAAGCCCTTGATTGTTTGTGACACAGGCTAAAGAAAACAACTGGAACATCCCCCAATTTGCTCCATGGTCTCTGATTGTAAAGTTCTGCATTCACTTGCTTGTGGTCTTCTTGGTAGAGTTCCCTTCTATTTTGTCAGCATTACAGCTCTGGAGTGTTTTTGTAAAGGCCCAGTGGCCGTGAAATTTTGCAAACTATACCCATATCATGTGGCACCTCACTTGTCACTTTTTGTTCAAGCTGAGCCTGGCAAGCTCCGTGGTTGAGTAGTTTTGATATCTGCACTAGAAAAGAGGCTGTTGGTTCGAGTCCCACTATGGCTAGCTAGGGATTGTATTCTTTGAAGTTCACACACAACACTGAGAATATAGAGCTTTTAAAACTATGCTGGAGTGGGGCTCAAATGGGAATGTATGTGGAATATAGGAATGTTCGTGAATTTATGCATTGAATTTGAGGTACATGTATACAGGTTTACATGCACATACATGTATGGTGCCAATGTGTTATTGACAATTTCAAAAAAGCTTGAAATCAGGGAATTGTTAGGACTAAGTTATATCCCTGCAAGTATTAAAATGTACACTTCTGTGATGCAACGTGTCCAAGATAAGAGACACACCTACCTTGGTATTCTCTGTATGGGTGTTATGAGCAGAGCGTGTAGAGTCAGGTTGGCACATTCAGGTTTGCCTTCTTGTTCTCTCAGAAACTGCACAAATGCAGCACGCTTACGCTCCCAATCCTGAAAATAGACAAAGTGTGTGTATCCACACCCCATGAACAAACCAACATTTCTTCTTGGAACTTCAGATCTACTGTTTCTTTTCTAATAATAACTTGTGTTAAAGGCATAGTCAATCATTTATGCATTTTGTTTGTTTGAAGCAACAAAAGTGCTCAAAATCTGAAGAAGGGTACTGAACAGCTAACCTGATGAAGTTTCAGCTCAGCTTCAGCTGTACATTTCGAAAAAAAACCCAGCATTCTAGGATCTTGATTTTAAATCAAAAGTTGCTGAATCATGTTTTGAATTGGGCCTGAATTCAGCGATCCCACTAGCTGATTGCAGCTACGTGATGTCGCGCACTGATCCGACAAATTATAGCAACCGCAAGCGTGTGCGTCGTGTCAACGCCTCGCCGAATATAACAACAAACTACCAACGGACATTTCCAACGGTGCTTCTTAAGAAGCACCGTTGGAAAGGCTTTCTTTCGTTGAATTCTTCAAACTGACAGCTTGCCAGAAAGAATAATTTCACAGGAAGTTTAGTCCCCTTACTATCTTTCAACCAAGTATGTTTTTCAACAGTAATTACGCCAGTTACTTTTCGGATGGCTGCAAATAATGGACTCTGCCTTAATTCTTATGTCTGCAAATTGAATTGAGTTCCCCACTGCCAGGCTTGATACTATTTTTGCATAAAGATGAAGGCAATGCATCAAACAAAATAACATAAATAGTTAACAGTATACAATCATTGGACTGAATTTTGCCCATTCATCATGCACAAAACATTAATGTGTTTATTTCTCACCCTATTGTTAATTCTAGGTATGACATATGGAAAAAACAATACAAATACATGTACTTGCAAATACCATTTTACACAAGTTGTTAAATGATTAAGATACATGTACACATGTACATGTAAAATATTCTCACTAATAAGCAACTTGTCATGTAACATACTCAAATCTTTTCTAACAAAAAAAGTAAATTGTTCTGCAATGTCTTTATGTTGCGATGTCAAGAAGGTTGAATATATGCTTAGGCCATCCTCTAGCACCATAAATGTGTCTCAAATAAATGAGTTGCGAGCCATATAGCAATGCATGCTAATTTCAACTGAGCCTATCATGAACCTGCCGGTATATGTAATTTTTTTTTCTAGCATTCTCTACCTCTAGAGGGCACGTGTGGTCTAGCGGTAGAACACAGGATTCATAACTGTGAGGTTGTGGGTTCGAGCCCCGCCATGGCCAAGCGTGTTGTGCCCTTGAGTAAGGTACTTCACCTCAATTACTCCTCTCAACCCAGGTATTAAATGGGTACTGGCATTATTCAATGCTGGGAAGGTAACAGACTCGCTGTGGAGGAGGTGTGGCGATCCCCCCACAGCAGCATATGAGTCTGGCCCAATCGCTAATGAAAGAGAGGTGGGCGCTCCGTTCCTGTGAACACAGGTTCGTCCCCTTTTACTTCTTCCTCTAGATGCTAGATATCAACACGTAGGCTTTCCTGTGTTTTTGATGGGAACTTTGGAGAAAGTTTGTCTCAAATGAAAGCAGGATTTTTACTGGGTAACTAAACATCTAGAGATAGGAATTTGAACTAAGAAGCTTCCATAGTAAAAATCAATTGAAAAAAACATTTCAGATTTCAAATTAAGTCAATTTAGCCCTTATCCCTCTGTCACTCACAATGTGGAGGAAGTCCAGTATTTGAGACACATTTATGGGGCTAGGATCCTTCATGACTTACCTGGAGTTTCTGTGAAGCTTTTTCAAAGTTATTGACGTATGCACAATACACCTTCATGAATGGAGCTAGCTGAATGAATGCCTGGGCTATGCCTTGTTCTTCCATGTGTGCTAGGAGCTCCCGATTGACTGCTTGAATTGCTGTGATGTTCTCAAAGATGATGCGATGATCATCTGCTGGGATGAGTCCTAATGACTCCAACGGAGTCAGGAAATGCTAGGAGCAAGATGTACAGACATACACACGATGAACGCGACTGATGATGTAAAACTTGATCAGTGAGTTTCAAATATTCGGTCCAGTGCAGTTTGGAATAATCGACTACCAAATCACTTGAAAATGGACAGCCCTATGACCAAGACATTGATTGCACAGCTGAATGACTGAACGCCTAAATTTATTACATAATGGACAGTTTTCATGCCTGCAGCGATGGCTATCATTATATTTTCCAACAAAATACTGCACCATGTACATACACATCTTACATCTCACCTGTACAATGATGGCTAGGTGGCTTTGATACTTTCTCTCCGTAGCAAATATCTCACAGATGATGCGTTCTCGCTTACGAGCCATTTTGACGGCATGGTTACCAGTAAACTTGTCACGAAACAGGTGTTCCAAGTCACCCTTGAATGTCTCCTTGCTTTTGGATAACCGCTCCCGCCAGCTGATGGAATGATTCACTGTATCAACACATGCAATCATTAATAAACATCATTATAAATATTCGAATGCTACTGAAAGGTGTACATGTATACATGTACTGTGAAATCTGGATAAGTCAAACGTCAAGGGAACAGGTTCAAAATTTGACTTAAGCAGAGTTTTGACTTAAACAGGGTTGTATCATTGTTATACTACTGAAGGCAATTGGTTCTTTTTGACTTAACAGTTGTTTTGAGTTATCAGTGTTTGACTTATCCAGATTGGTACTGTGCACGCCTTACAGAATGGCTAAATTTGACTCAATCAAAACAATTATTTGACTTTGACAATTATCCTACACTATAGGTCTTAGTAGTTGTACACAGTGTGATGCCTGCATGTGCTTGTTGACCATAAAGGTAGCATACAACATTTGCAAACATAAAAAAACCCAAACAAATACAAAATTGTTATGAAATACCTTACTTGGCTGTAAGTGAATAATAATCTCAAGCATCCTGCGAAATCATAGTGCCCGGGCCTGGTGCAATCTCATTTTTAAGAACTTTCAGTGTATTTTTTGTATCAATTTCCAATAATGGTCAGCCGACCATCACTGGAAAAAAACTGACTTTCTTCAAATACTGCCCCCAAATTCAGTTAGTCCACTTTTTTCAATTTTTTATTTGCAATTGATTACACATAAACGGATGCAAGCCCTCTAGTCTGGTTCCCAGACCTGACAATTCCCTTAAGTTTATAAATTGCTCCGTCTTGGCTGAAGTAGGGTCAGGGAACCATAGTACAAGAACAGCATTTTTTTTTCAACAGGCATGTGTAACAATTATTTTCTATAAAATACTAACCCCAAATCCATCCTTTTCATGAACATTTCAGCTAAAGCAAATCACTTTTTGTTGTTCTTCTTTTTACTTCACTGACTCATCACTCACGCATTGCCTGTCACTTGTGAATTTGACCAGCACAAATCTCCCCTTGGCCCAAAAAAGTCACTCGCTTGAATACATGTACGTGGTCCGGCTTAGGGTCGTCTCAAGTCATATCAGGGACGAGTTCTCAAACAAGAAGCGGGCATTGTATCGGGTATAAGTTGCAGGATTCTGAACAACTTCCCCGCAATCTTCCCGCAATGAAGTTATCAATATTGGAGAGTCAAGCAGTTGCTGATGAAAACTTCCCCGGAACATGTCCAGGACAAATGCCGAGCTTCTTCCAGTCAAAGTGAATGATTCTACCCGCAACTTGTCCAGAACTTGCCTGGATATGACTTGAGACGAGCCCTTTGACCAACTTGATCTTTAGGACACCTCTATTTTTTACGAGTTCTGTTCAAAACTGACTTTTGCAGATGACTGTCCAGTACCAAAGTGACTTTTGCAGGCTAAAGCAGTCTTTTTTCTTCATATAAACTCATGTTAGGCCAAAAAAAAAAAATATTCGGTCTCTGGCATGGGCGTCGCCAGGATTTTTTCTAGAGGGGGGCAAAAAAAAATTTTGACCAAAAATGCTTGTATTTTTCAACACATTTTCGAATTATCAGTTTTAGAGGGGGCAGGGACATTCCCCCCCCCCCCCCCCCCAACTCATTAAATTTGCACCACTTTGTCTTCGCGCATCTTTTTTTTCCCTTTTTTTTTCTTTTTTTTTTGCGTCTTTTTTTTTTTTTTTTTTGGCTTTTCCAGGGGGGGGGGGGCAAGTGCCCCCCCTTGCCCCCCCCTCGCGACGCCCATGGTCTCTGGTCAGACCAAAGTTCCGGAATTGATGCAGCCACGCGGCTTTTTTTTTTTTTCCTTTTTTTTTCTTTTCTTCAGCTTGGATTGTACAGACAAGGTGGGTACTGTTTTGCTTTTTTGGTGTCCTCATGTACATTGGTGGCCTCCATAATTTGCCTTGGTGCTTTTGATCATTTGCCTTTGTGCAATTTTATCAGCCAATCAGCATCAAGCTTTCATTGCATCGAGCTTTCATGTTTGCCATCTTGGTTGAATTTGATTCAGTTTTCTGGTTGTCACCGTCGTCTTTTACCCCTGAATTTCCCTCATAAATCAAAGCCCTGCCCTCTTTCCACAAAATTAAACCTGCTGATATTCAAGAAGGTGTCATTGCCAATTGTTCAGATGTGTCAAGAAATATCAGAGTGTTAATTTTGAGTGTCATTTAGTCAACTGTTTTGGTGAGTCTTTCCCTTCCTACATGTATATAGGAACGGGGTCCTAAAAGTAAGGATTACCCACTTGAGTAATACAACTTTCTTTCTTATGAAAATGAAATACAGTGTCATTGAATGAAACCTCACATTTCTTCTTTCGATTGCTGAGAGGGCGATACGTTGCCCTTGCCAAAGGCTGATTTTCCTCCATTGTTGATGTCTTGGCAGATTTGGATCAAATCACTTTTCACTGGTCTGAAACAAAAAGGACCTGCAAGTGCAGAAATTGTAAGCTCAAGATATTCATCATTACAACAGAAAAAAATTGGCAATAATACATGTACCGTAGATGCAAAACCTTAAGATCAAAATTTGGAGAGGATATTGGGAAACAAGTGGGCTAATTTTCAAAGAACCTGAAACTCATTGTGCATGGAACTTAACATGATTCATCATCGACTCTGATGGCATGCATCAAATAAGGAGGAATTTATGAGGTGCTTCACGGTAACATGCGCCATCTTGTTCACGGGGCAAAAAGAACGTGTTGCTAGATACGGGCACATTTTGGAATGACCGCATGATGACTTGGAAGCACCAAAGTATTCTACTGACGATGTGTACACAGCAACATGTGTAAAATTGCCCTGCGAGCAAGATGGCGCATATTACCATGAAACATCTTAGTTCTGGTAATATCTTAGTTCTAATCAAAAGTGTGAGTATATAAATTAACTCTTGATTTGACCTAGGCAGTGCTAGGCTATGCTAAACAGTAAAAAGGTTAGCGATTTGCAATATTGCCACAAAAACTATAGAGAGTAGCACACGGCCTAATTGCAGAATACCCCGCCACTTGAAGATCAGCCCCTTAAAATTCAAAAACAAACTGATAGTGATACAAATTGATAGGCCTAGGCACAAATAGGGTCTAAACGTTTACAAAAATGGTAAACATATAAGTTAGGCCTAATTAATTGTTTTGGCTGACAATTGACATGACTGACAACATCAACATGATCAACAGATCAATGTAATGTAAAGGGGATGATGTAAGGTAAGTTGGGTACTAGTACACCTATACCAGGGACTTTTGTTTGAGCTGACCTAACGACATGTACGAACACTGTTGTGCTGTATGTACGGTACTGTAGGAAAAAAAACAACAACTTGGGTTCGAACTTCGATGATTCAAAATTACGCGCGCCGGGCAACCGGGACGGACAGTGAGGAATACAAAAATAGTTCACCAACCCCTTTTTTCAATCATGGAAAATAGAGGCTATTATTGGTCATAGATAACGTGAATTTACTTATATCATGTTAGTAGAGTCCTGCAAACTAGAGTCTATGCTTAATGGCTTATTTATTTTTAAATTTGGCCTAACAGTACATAAACTTACCGAACCGTACACCGCGATCCGTCCAATAAAATCCGGATTAAGCAAACCCGTCGACAGAGGGCGGTAGTTATGACATAGCGCCCCCTGTACGGCGGTACAGATGTAGCCAGCTCTGACGCTTCCATGCTTAAAACAAGTAGCAGACCAGTAAATAAACTTCCATTGACCCCAATGGTAAATGCTCCCACTTCAGAAATTCGGGAAAAATATCCACAACTCTTCAAGGTGTTCTAGTCTGGTTCCCAGACCAAAAGATTCCGACTATTCCTGATGAATCTTAGGTCAGGTAGCCTCCGGTAATACAATGTATTACAATTTACATCACGTGACTAAAACGGGAGGAATTCCTCCTTTTTCCGAAACTGTCCGAAGTTTGCCGAATTCATTTCGTCGACAATCGGATAGTGTCCGAGTATTTCCGAGTATAATATAGGTTTTATTAACTGCTAATAGCTTATTAAAAACTTAAAAAAACTAGTTCAAATTAATATCCATTGCTTTTATTTAGAAAACTTGAAATTCAACGACGATTTTGCACTCGGATCGTATACGAGGGGCGAACTTTTTGCTGCGTCATGCACTAGTTTGAATTTGACGACCGTTACCGGCATTTTCCAAAACGCGGCGTGGTCTCAATTCGGCTCCGCCTGCTAACAGTGCTGTTTGGGTGTCCAACTTTGAAGATTCCAGGTTAAAATTAGTCAATGTTTTTTTACAGAAGTATTAAACTGTATATCATAACTGTATGATATATGAAGCAAGTGATTTATTTTTTAAAAAATTATCGGAACATTAAAAGCTTTATGTGATAAAGCGAATTCGGAAACGAAGTCGAGCTTTGAAAAAGGGCCGTCAATGTCGTCATGTTTATTTTTAGCCACGGAGGCTGCCTGACCTACAATTTAGACGTGTAGACGTCGGGGGAAATTGTCAGGTCGGGGAACCAGACTACAAGGTGTTCGAGACACACATCAAATTAAAGCTTATTTCATCGTCTTTCATTTTCTTTTCAATTTTCGGGGGGGGGGGGGCAACAGATGACTTTTAGGAGAAATTTCCATCCGAAGATGATCACCCCTGGAAATAGTCCTGCGAAGCCCATCGCCATTTTGAAAAAAACCCGATTCCTACACTCCATTGCAAAAAACAGAGCGCTTTAAGCGCCCCAATTTCATTGCAATTGAACGGAACTACAAGGTCAAGGTCCTGTACACGGCTTCCACCCATATTTTTTTACAAACCTTCAAGTTTATGGCCCACAGCATGCTCAAATACTGAAGATTTTGAGGGCATGCAAATCGCGATTTGGCCGGCGTAGGCAATTTCGGACCGATTTACTGGTCTGCAACCTTAGAGCTAGAGGCATAACTACGTTTTCGCTCGTACCCCCCGCCCTGCAGGGCGGGGGTACGAGCGAAAACAACGTTACAAGAACGGGGTCGTAAGAGGCCCGATATCCCGGACCGTATATCCCCAGTGCATAACAAAAACGGTCCATTTTCCCCATATTATCCTAACCCAGATTCCACATCATACGATGACATTTATTGATTGATTTGACAAATTCGATCTCTGAATGCTGCATTTGGCCAGAGCTTAGACGAATTCGATCTGTAATGAAGAATATTCTTAACACGGTACATAATTAAAAAGGGTGGCCAAACTTTGACACGAATGGTAAATGATTATTTGTTTTTAGTTTGGTAAAAGCATGTACAATTTTCTCGGGCGAAATGGAATATTAGAGTTGGTGACTTTGAATTGACGGGAAAACCTTTACTACAGGGTAAGTCAAAAAACCGGAACCCAAACCCCCCAAAAATATATATTTCGATGATATTTAAAATATGAAATGTATTTTTTTCGGGTTTTGGTTCCGCACATGATGAAAGTTTTCAATACTCTACATTTATGGACCAAAAGCATCCCTTTTTACCAAATCAATGTATAAAGAAATCTTGCCTTGTCTTTACTGATGTAAACAATTATCTCATTCTGCCGTCAAATGTACACGTAGTGCAACATTCTGCTTCCTGTCAAACAGTTTTTGTCAAATGGTTAAGTTTTACGTTAACATGAATAATTCGATACATTGTCTAATTCAATGAAGTTACTACGGTAACTTTTGTGTCAAGCAATTTTTTTTTAATTATCGGCAGCTACAATATTAGATAAGCGGCATATTTAAAACTACATAGGTCTAAAGTCCAAGGTTTTCTATATTAACATTGAAATATTTACAAAAATTGAATATAGTTCAAGAAACAGCAACATTTAAAATGAAAAAGTCAAGGGTGTCTTTCAGGCTCTCTAAAATTTAAGACAAGATATTTTTGGAGTGACAAAATTTAAATCAAAAATTGTTTTACTGCCAAGTTTAGGGACCAATAGTGTCCTAGTGTATCCAGCGGCGTAGCCAGGGTACTCATCCTGGAGGAGGGGGGGGGGGGCGACTGGGGGACTGGATGTTACAGTGGAGGGGCGCCCAATTTCATCGGGATGAAAGATAATTATTCAGATTTCTTTCAACCGACACTTGGCCTCCGTAAAATAAAAAAAATAGGGGGGGGGGGGCGGGGCGGAGCGGGGACACCATCTTTCCATGGAGGCACTTTTCAAAACTGAAATCATGGTCATTGTCAGACAATAATGGCACTACTCGCTTTCCACGGGACAATAAAATTAACAGTCAATCTCGAAAAAAAAGTAAAAAAAATAAAACTTTTTATGTTACACACGCTACTCATGGTTCAATCAAAATAACCGGTTGCCGAATTTCCGGGGGGGGGGAGGAAAGGGGGTGACGGGGGGGGTTATGTGGGGGGGGGGGGGGGGGGGAGGGCTGCGCCCCATGGCCCCCCCCGTAGCTATGCCGCTGCCTGTATCAAAATACAGAAATGTATAAAGAGATCCTGCTTGGTCTTTACTGATATCAAAATATATCTTCTGTCAAATATTGGACACCATTTTCACTGCACAACTCGATTGGCTATCCAATTAGTGTTTTCGATTTTACGATATCATGAAAAAATTACCTATTCTGCGTAATTACATTTAGTGCACAGTTGCACACACACACAATTATAACCTTAACCATAAAGGGGCCGGGTTATTTTGACCATCTCTCAGCCGGGGGGGGGGGGGGATTCCGCCCCCCCTAAGATCTCGGCCATCGAGTGACGAAAAATTTTGAAACTCTGCACATGCATAGAGAAACTCTTTTTTAACATACCCAAGAAATTTCATGACTATAGGTCAAAGGGTTTTGGAATTATGGCTAATTAATTATTCATATGTACGAATGGCAATTCTGCTCTGTGTACACGACGTATATGCGAAAATTCAGTTTTCACGGCGCGTAGCGCCGGAAAACCTTTCGCTACGCGGCAACCCGTGGTCCGATTTTTATGTTTTTGGTATCAAAAGATGCACAAAGCTCGAGGCTAAAAAGTCATAACAGCTCGGGTCGCGAAATTTTTTTTTTTTTAGGCTATCACGGAAAATGTTGAGGGGGGGGGGGGCGGATTCCGCCCCTCGGCCTCTTTAGGGTTAATGACCCATACCCTAACCTAACATTAACCTACCCTGACCAAACTTTGTAAATTTGGGTTTGAATCACGAGAAATCGATTGAGCATATTTGCAACTTTACAATTTTGCCTAGAAAAAGGAATCAAAACTTTAGACACTTGAAAAGTCTCCCTATATAATGTACATTATGGTATAACTTTTGATGAAGATCCCTAAGAGTATATTACGTAAATTATATACAATGTATATTTCACTACAGTAATTGATATAGCAACTTTTGGCAAATATATAGTAATTCCTTATCTCAGCAAATAAAATAGTGGATACATGAGACTATGGTGCACTACGTGAAGTTGAAGCTTTTATGACATCGAAATAGTTACAAACTGCTGTCAACTGGAGTAACTTTGGCAGGTTCCTTTCTTCTAATAGTACATGTCAATTTTCCTTTTGTGCTTTTTTGCAGCTGGGCCCTAATCTGTAACCTAGTAACAACAAATAGTTAATCTGTTTGTTTGAATAGAGCCTCCTAATGTGCTACAACTTCCCCGTGTATTGGGGCAACTGTGGAAGGATATCGGAATTGAATGAAATTGATATTATTCACAAAACTTGTACAGTTATAACAATATCATTCACAAGATGGAATTTGCGTCGTGGTGATGTAAATCAATATTAGGTTCTGCCCTTCACCGACATATAAACACTATACATGTATACCCAGTGTGTTACCTCCCGAGTGAAAGTTGCAAAAAAAATCACTCGGGTGGTATTCGAACCCACGACCTCTTGCTTCCTCGTGCAGACGTTTTACCACTCAATCACCGAGCGATATCAATGCCACCTATATCTAATGACATTCATATCAATAATGATATTTATAATCTTAAAGATCGAACATATTCTTTTTAGGACATGACTTTATAGAATCAATTTTATTATTAAAGTGTCAGTATGACCGCGCAATAACATGCAGTACGGGTATAAGGCTTCTGCCAAACTTACCCAATTCACGGTATTTAATTAAATATTATTATTCAGGAAAAAGAGCAACATTTAAAAATGAAATAAAGTCAAACAAAGTATAAAGCAATTTAAGGTGAGTTTTTATGTATTTTTTTAGCTTCTCTAATATGTTACAGGGATAACTCTTAAATCACAAGTTGTTTACTCCAAATTCAAGGTACTGGGATGAATGAAGAAATGTTGATGTCTTTACTTATTTTTTTCTTCAAATATTGTACATCATTTTCTTTACACAAATAGGTAACCCATCAAATTGTTTGATTTTGATATGAAAATTTGAACTTGGTACCGGTATTGTATAAATCAATTAAATCATTCTGGCAATTTTTGAGGCAAATTAAGTTATTCCTTTATAAATATCATGGAAGATAAAATAATTGATAATCGAATCATTTCTTATGACATTGAAGTTGCGTTCCCCGTGAACTTAAACAAATTAGCTGTTTTTCCGATTAAAATTTTTCCTCTTGTATGTTTTTATTCCAAACAACTGTTTGTTTCCTTTTAGGGACGTCTCAACCCT